AATTGTTACAGATAGTACTTATAAATATTTTTCGAATGCATTTTTGTTGTCAAGGTAAATGAAATTTTGAATTTGATGGTTTAGCAACAAACTTTATTACTTATTACTAATTTCGTTTTAATTGAATAGCTCCACATATTGTCCTCTTCTTAAAAGATGGATACCCATTTTGATAACAGTGATTTTAAAAGAGGATAAGATTCACTATAAAGAACATTTTAAATATTTATTTCAATGGATTGATAACCATTGTGAAAGTGAAGCAAAAAACCGTGATGATTTTTATGCACAAGTTATTGATTTTAGTATGGCTGAAAGAAGAGGATTCATTGATGCATTTGTTGAACATAAATTGGAAAAGGTCAATTTATCCTCATACTCTCAAACTCTTTTAAATTCACATAAAACACACTTGGAAAACGAAGCATTGAACTTTTTAAAAGGATGCCAGGAACATTATCGGCAATCTGTAGCAAGGATTGCACGAATCATCAAACATGAAGACTCAGCAATATTCCAATCAATGGCATTAGAACTTTTAGAACTTGATATTAAGGAATTTTTTAAACAAGTTGAAGAAATAAAGAAAAATTGGTCAAACATTGTAACTTGGTTGGAATGGTGGGTTTATACCGATGCAGGAAAAATCCTTTTTCCTGCATTAAGTTCTATGAATGAGGATCTATCCAAAATATTGCCAAATTCAACAAATGCGCAAGAATCTATGCATTCTCAATATTACATGTGTGGAACTACAAATCAGTCAATTATCACGGGTATTTATTTTATAAAAAATAAATAATTAATTTAATTGACTAATTGATTATTTATTAACCTTGAACTTATTTCATTTAGGTCTTGAGAACCTTCTTTTGTTTGTAATAGCATTGGAAGTTGATTATGAAGACAAAAGTAAAGGGCATTCCTTGAAATATGGTCACGATGAACCATGGAAAAAAGTTGCAGAATTATATGGAACAACCAAATCATCCAGAGGAAAGAAATCCAAAGGTGCTGGTGTAAATGATCGTAGACCACCAGATACTGCTGAAGCCCTTTCAAAAAATAAATCATCTAATGATAATAAAAATTTAGATGTTGGCAATTGTAAAAAAGAAAAACAAAAAGTAATTGAACTTCCCAAAAAATATCAATCATATCCACATTGGCGAAATTCATGTTATATTACATCATTCTTGGAATTACTGTATGTGAACTACCTTCATGCAATTCCATGGTGGTCAACCAATGTCAGAACAATTACACATGATTCTGGATTAAAAAAATTATATATAAGTTTTACTATCTGAGATACTGTTAATACTCTAGGAACCAAAAATACAAAATCTACCTTCAATGAAGCCTGCGAAATTGTTCATTGCCATGTTCTAGAAAAAAACGGCAAAAAGATAATGAGTTTGGATCATTATCCTATTGGTTTGAAAGTATTATTTCAGAAGAAAAAGAATCAATAAAACTTATGACACAGTTTTGTGTTCTTGGATTGCGAATCTGGTCATGTGAATCTGGTCATGTCAAAGTAGCACCAACACCCATTAAACCATTATTTCAAATAAATGGAATTGATGATTTCGATAGCTCTTTTTTTAAGAATAACCAAAACCTGGTCGGACAAGTTTCTGTATTATTTGCAGAAAAGAATGAATTTATCAGCAATATACTTCCAGACCGACCTTGCCCTTATAATCGTGCAAACCTTCATCAGTGTACCAGCAGAGAAATATTCTACGAAGAATACATAATTTCTTTACCATATACCTTGGTATTTGAAATAACCCAAAGAGATGGTGCTAATTATCACTCGTCAGAACAATTGGATTTCCCTTTTCAGCTTTGTTATCAAGAAAATGAGATCAATATAGAATATACATTGACAGCACGTGTATACAGCACATCATCAAGTGGACAGCATTTCTACAGCGAAGTAATTCGAAGCTTTGACAATCAAAGTGGTGTCTATAAGTATGATGACTTAAATGATGGGACAGCTGTATTAATATCCAATGATCCAACCACTCTATCAGGATACAAGCCACAGACTGTATTAGTTGCTTATAAATTAAATGATTTTAATAATCATTCCATCTATTCTGATAGCCGAGCAAGTTAGTATTGTTTAAATAACTTTTAAATTTTTAAAAAAAATTAATTAATATTAATAATAATTACTTCCATTGAATTATCCACAGGAACTTTTATGGAAAAGTTAAATAATCATAATATAAACATTTCTGAAAAGATTCATTCAGGAATAGACTGTAAGTAAGATTTTTATGAAAAAAGCTGGTTGTTTCGTCATCAATTGATTAATAATGTTGTATTTTTTCTAGTAATTGAATATTTCACTGATAAAAACCATCAGTATTTTAACGAGGGTAAAAATGAAGATGAAGAGGAACCCGAAGCTGATAAAAAAAATAAAAAGTAATTATTAATGACTTATTGTAATAATGATAATGCATTCATTTATTAATATTATTAACAAAATTTCCATATTTTCTTTAGACCCAGGACTATTAAAGATAACACTGCTGTAGTTCGTCGTAGTAGTAGAATTAAAAATACAAAAAAATAATTTTTATTAATGTAATTATCAAAAATAAATAAAAAAAAATTAAAAAGGATATATGTAGTCGATCCCTGTCCCCTGTCCCTTTCTAAATTTTACAGGGAATTTTAGAAAAGGACAGGGTACATGTCACCTGTACCTTGTATGCGCCACGCCTGTCCCCTGTCCTTTTCTAAAATTTTTACATTTCGCCTGTGCCACTCGCCTGTCCTTTTCAAAATTTGATAGGGAAATTTAGAAAAGGACAGGGTACAGGCGAAATTTGCAGATCCCTGTCCCTTGTCCCTTTCTAACGTCCCGAAAAATAATATTTGAAAAAAGGTTGGAGGTTTTGGTCAGGATATTTATTAATGTTTATTTATTGTTCTAATTATGATCCCAAAGAATGATCCCAAACTTTTGCTAGGTTGAATGAAACTTTTGCATTTTTATAGATGATTTTGATGCTTATTTAAATTTCAAAGAATTTAAAATAAAAGGTAAGATTAAGATTCCTGTTCTAATTTAAGAGTGGTTACCAATAACATTCATTGTTGAAGTTAATGAATAATAGAGATAAGGTATACAGTATATGGCAATTTGAATTTGTTTTTGCTACTTCCTGTATTGAATAAGTTATTAAAATAATGATATGGTGTTAATAATAGATAGACAATTGTGTCTTGTTATATTTATAAGGATATTATGAATAAACAAACAATAATGGATCAATAATTTTAAGTATCATGATCTATTTTAATTGTTATTGTACCATAGTTGTATTTATTTCTTACTGACACTTTGTGTGTTAATATTAAAGAAAATAAAATATTGCAAATATTTATTAATTTTTTTGCCTTTTAAATATTTTGTTCTTTGGTTGATCTCTCTTTTCTCATCTCAAATTTAAAAAACCTACAATGTAAACATAAAAAAAAAATATATAGGGTTATAGGTATATGGAAAGAAGTAATCACAATGGTTCTAATGAATATCAAAAAGCAATTGATTTTTTTAAAAAGAGGTTGTAAATGTAGTTGCTCTTCAAGAATTCCCAAGGAAGAATTTGCAGAATTAAGAGAATCTTTTCAAGCTCTTTCTAAAATAGAACAAGACATATTCTTAATGGTCAGCAATGAATGGTGGATCAACAAGCACTAGTAGATGCCTTAAGAAGAAAACCAGATCTAATAAAAGAACTTTCTATTACTGGGTCACAATACACCTCTTTGTCAAGAAACTTATCTCAATATGTTAGGAATTGGCAGGACTTATTTTGAAAATATCAGAAATCATTTAATAAACAATCATCTTTTACCAAGAATTCATGGTAACATCAAAAGGATGCCTCAATGGAAAACTAAAATGGTGATTGATAAAAGTGTTGAAATTTTCTAGAAAATTATGCTAAGTCCATGGATTACCAAGCCCAGGAAGAAGTAACAATAGAATAACCAAACCAATTGTATTCTTACTAGCTGAAATAAGTTATAAAACTGTGCACAGGGATTTTCTACTTGGTCTAGAAGAAGATAGCAAATTGAAATCCTTGAAATATGATGCATTTAGAAAATTATGACATCAATTGACACCAGAGATTCAAATTATGAGTCCCAAGACTGACTTATGTGATTCTTGCCAACATTTTAAAAATGGTTTGCATTATAATGCTTGTCAAGAGGAAGAAGCTAAAGAATCACTCAAGAGATTTAAAGAACATCTGTCCAAGGCAAGATTAGAAAAAAGTTGTTATAATAAAAATACTAAATTAGTTAACCAAAATTATCCCCAAGGTAAAACACAATATTACAGTGTTGATGCTACTGCTCATTATAGTTATGATTGAGCCCAAAATGTTCATGTATCACATTCAGATCAACATAGCCTTCAGAGAAATTGTCAAAATTTTATCTTCAAAACTTTTTTCCAAAAATGGTTTCTTTTATTTTTAATTGCTTAAGTTCCAGGGAATTGAGTAACATAAGATTTTTAAATACATAATCTTCAGAACCTAAACTATAAACTGATATAAATTTTTTAATATACTTATTATGTATGTTTTCATGTATTTAATACATTTAGGGTGTCTGACTCTTCTATCCAGACATTGTATTTAAAATTTTCCAAGTTTCTGTTATAGAGCTTTTGAACTGTAGTAGTAAAATTCACGGCTACCTTTACAACTTTAAGGTGTTGTGTTGGATTTATTTACAGCTTAATATTATTATTATACTGTAATAGTAATAATATGAATTGCTGGCAAGTATTTAATACGAATAATTAAATGGGCATCCTTGCACTATGTACAAAATTTTAGCCCAATGAATAATTATTATTTAAAATATTCTAAATTAACCAAATTTAGTTAGGTTGGAATAGGGAACAGTGTTAAAAAAAATACAAATTGATATAAAGTGGTGGGATGGTTTTTTTATGTTAATTCCCTTTCAACAAAATGAAGCATATAATTGTCTATATGATCAGGATTATCATCATTGGTTCCATCGATTTTAATTGGTGAAGATAATTCTGTTGCTACATAATCTTCTGAAAAATCTGGAATATCAATTTCAAATTCATTTCT